CTGCTGTCCCCAGATCATGTGGGTGGCCCTCCTCTGGACCCTCTCAATGTTGTCCACATCCCTCTTGAAGTGGGGTGCCCAGAACTGGACACAGTACTCCAGCTGTGGCCTGACCGGTGTCATGTAGAGGGGGAGGATCACCTCCTTGGCCCTACTTGAGATGCATCTGTGGATGCACGATAAGGCCCAATTAGCCCTGCCGACCGTGACCTCGCATTGTCAGCCCATGTTCATCTTGGAGTCAATAATGACTCCAAGATCCCTTTCTGCCTCCGTGCTCTCAAGAAGGGAGTTTCCCATCTCATAAGTGTGCTGCCGGTTACTACTGCCCAAGTGCAGCACCCTGCACTTGTCAGTATTGAAACGCATCCTGTTTTTGTTAGCCCACCCCTGCAACCGATCCAGGTCTTGCTGCAGTCTGGCCCTCCCTACCAGTGTGCCCACCTCACCCCAAATTTTGGTATCATCAGCAAATTAAACAGGTTGCTTTTCACCCCATCGTCCAAATCACTGATAAAGAAATAGAACAGTGCGGGCCCAAGGACCGAGCCCTGGGAGACTCCGCTGCCCACTTCCCCCCAGGTCGAATATGACCCGTCCACCACCACCCTCTGAGTACGACCCTTCAGCCAACTTGCAATCCATCGGACTGTGTAGGCATCAATGCCACAGTTGCCCAGTTTTTTAACGAGGATGGGGTGGTCGACAGTATCAAAGGCCTTGTTGAAGTCCAGAAAGACTACATCCACGGCGACACCTACATCCAATGCTTTTGTGACTTGATCGTAAAAGGCAATCAGGTTGGTCTGACATGACCTGCCCCTAATGAAACCATGCTGGTTGCCCTTGAGCATCATCCCCGATGCCGGCCCATCACAGATGTGCTCCTTGATGATCTTCTCTTCTTCTATCCCTTCCTCTTTCCTTCTTTTTTCTTTTCCCCTGTAGTGCTTACTATTTGTGACACACAGATTGACAGGTATGTAACTGATATATATGTATTTGATTTGGATGTTGCAATTCAAAACCTATAAATTTATTTTAAAAGTTTAGAGGGGGGAGGCAGTGGAGGGTGGTAATGGGGGGGATGATGCTTCACTTTTTTGGAGTTCCCATATTCTTTCACATTGCTCCTGGAGGAAGTGGCCACAGACAAAGAAATCTATCCAGTTGGCTTGGTATATGCGAAGCATGGTGTTTACAGTGTGATTGCATTTCTGAGCCACGTAGCAGAAGTGTGTGATAGCACTTGGGGTGAAAATAAGGAGCACCAATTCCCTTCCTCTGTGGGGAATCTGAATCCCCTAATCCAAGTGAGAACAGCACATAAATGTATGGGTACTTGTTGAGAACCTCTGCCTTACCCCAGTAGGCAGACCAGGAACAGGAGCTGAGGGAGGAAGAACTGGTCCCCCATTAGCCTCAGGATCAAGATGCTCTGTTCAGAGCAAACCTTCCCTATCAAAGTACAGAGTAGTGTTTCTCAACTTTTTCAGACTCAAGGCACTCCTGGATAGACTCAAAGTACCCCTTGAAGAATGCTAGCTTTTATTTTTCACCTTTATTTGCCTACAGAAAAATAATAGAACAGTTTTTCCATTGCAAAGAACTCAAAGACTACAACTATGGATTTCTATGTGAAATCTCTGGGTTTATTTGTGAATCATGTTTGTAAACTTAACAACGGTCACATTGCGTGGCACACCTGAAATAATTTCAGGTCACACGAGTTGAGACTCACTGGTATAAAGACAACTCACTGGCAGCTTTCTCTTCTCCCTGCACAAAGTCAGGGAATAACAAGGCTGTATGTGTAAATCCTCCCCTTTAAAAGACCTCGGTCTTTCCAAATGCTTGAAATTTGAAGCTACAACCCAAAACCACTTCCTTTTCCCTTTTAAAAGTGCATGGAAATTTTCCATTGCAGCCGAATGCAATCACATGCATGGAGAGCAGCAGACTGTCATTGCACAGCTGTGTGACATTTCTGCGACTGGCTATGGGTTGCTTACAAGAACACATTCACTTTTAAATGAGTCATTTTGATTCTCTTCCCTGTATACATGCTGTTTTCACAAGACAATGCAATGCTGTGTCATACTAAGCCACGTGCTATTTAGTAGGGCTGTGCAAAGCTTCGGTCACTGATTCAATTCAGCAGAGATTTGGCCCGATTCGATGGCTGAATCTCCAAATCCCAATCAAATCGAGAGACCCTTTAAATCTCTCCAAACAGAATCTGAACCCTACGAATCGACTCAGAGAGATTCAGTGATTCGGACATAGGAGACAGCTTTAAATATTTTGTCTCCATACCTCAAGGTACGGGTGGCTCATGAATGCTGTGATGGTGGGGCAGATGGAGCATCCCACAGAAGCATGGCAGGGTCCCCAGCACACTTGGCAGCAGACCTCCAGCTCGGTGACTGGTGCCTCCTGGGTCTGGGGGGCATCTGGGGTCCCCCCAGAGCCGATCGCCAAGCCGGAGGGGCACAGCAGGAGGGCCCCCAGTGCACACCCTGGCACTCCCAGAAGTGGACTTTAAGTACTTCTGGGTCCACTTCTGGGTTTGCCACCAAACACGTAGGGGGCCCCTCCACACTCCTGTGGGATGCTCCATCCATCCCAGCATCACAGCATTCACGAGCCATGCCTGGTACCTTGAGGTGTGTAGAAAAAACATTTAAAGCTGTGTCTATGTCCAAATCACTGATTCTCCAAATCAGCATCGAATCTTCAGATTCGGATTTGGCCAAATCGAATCGGGGACAGCGAACAAAATCAACTAATCGAATCACTGTCCCCTATTCAGGCTAAATCCAAATCAAATATGACCCGTTTTGCACACCCCTACTATTTAGTCACTTCCCCTTCTTTATTTTGATCAGCTTGGACCATATTTTTGAATTGCTTTTACTGTTCACTATCAAAGATGTGTCTGCATTACAGTGATTTCATCATAAGTTTCATGCTATTTGGCTTTTCATGAAGGCTGACCTTCTGGAACCATGGAAGTGAGTATCTTGACCCTTTTTTTGTTTCATTGCAAGTTCCTTGTCCTTAAAATGCGGTGGAAGGGCAAACAAAAGGCTCAAGCAAACACGCTTTCCTGTTTTCTTCAAATGGAATCTACATTTTCAAGCCAATGTCTTTGACTCAGATTTTTTGGAATGCTTAGGACTCGTAATACCAAGCTAAGCCCCAGCTGCCATTTTTGGAACTAGCTCATAGGTTCAGGTACTATCAGTATTAATCACTGATATCATTTACCCAGAAAAATGGCTGAGACTTAAAAAGAGGCTCATAAGAGGCAGCTGTAGTTTAAAAACTCATTTTCCCAACCTATTTCACTGTTTTCAGAATGAGTGTCTTCTCACTTTCGGAACCCACCGATGAAAAGGGTATTTTATAGCTGTATGGCACACATTTTAAACATGAGTGATAGTATTAAATGGACAAAAGAATGAACCAGGAAAACGTTACCCAAAAAGTTCCAGAAGTCTCTGAAGTTTGACAAACTAAAAGCTCCCTGCATAGAAGCAAAGTACTGTACCTCCTTGCTCTTGCAGCCAAAAGCTCTTAAGTAATGGGGGAGTTTTTTATCCGTGTGTGAAATGAGACACACTGGAAGAAAAATTTCAGACAGAAAAAAAGCTCCAACTTTTTCAGATGTATTGATTTTTTTTTTTTTTTTTTTTTTTTTTACAGGATTTACACAATGTTGCAAGCCTCAGGGCAGGAAATTATGTTGTTCTGCTAATATGTTAGGTCTGTGGAGAACAAAAGCATCTCAGAAGTAGATAGCATAGCCCGTTTTCTATTAGAACCGAATGCAGTTTGCTGCAGGTAAATTAGGTACATCACAAAGCAAGCCAGAAAATTATGTTCAATAGCTGCTTATCCTCTTCTCTCAGTTCTCAGGAGGCAAAGTTAGTTTACTAGTGACTGCACTTCTTAACCACCTCCCGTTCTGTTCTGCTAAATGCTGTTAGGCTAATTCAAGTTTCCGTGAGAGAGAAAAGTGGTGAAAATATGCCTTATATAACACAGAGAGACAACAGTCTTTTCCTCTCCATTTTTATGGAATTTCAGCAGCTCAAAGATACAAGTATTACTGGAGGAAAAGAAAGGAAGCCAGCAGCCAAACTGCATGGATATTTATTATTAGTTGCCACTGTGTTCCATACAAACATCACATTTCAGAGTGAAAGTTTAACATGTAGCTTCACATTTGAAGTGGAATACATTGTATTTACTTGAATCTTAGGTGACCCTGAATTTAAAGCAACCCTTCAATAAGTAGATTAAACACATGGAAAAATTATAAAATTTGTTATAATTTTCTATGTATAGAATCTAATTATTGGAGGGTCATCTTTAATTCATCCCCCCACCCCACTCCTCCACCGTTACAGGAGGGCAGGTAGGTAGTTTATACTATTCACTGTCATCCTCTTTCTATCACTCCAGTCTTTAGACTCACCCAGTTCTTCCATTTTGATATTCTGATCCTTCTCTGTATTAAGAAGGCCATGCAACTGTACTAATAAATTCTTCTAATGACACACTTTGTGTGTCAAGGTCATAAATAGACATATTAACAAAGGTCAGTCCTGAAGACCAACCCTTGAAAGATCCATCTATAACTTCCCTCCCGCTCAATTGTTCACCCGCTCCCATCCAACTTCCCTTCAGACACTTCAACTATGTTACAACTCTTGACCTAATACAATCCTCAGCTTCTTCTTCAAATACAGTTTCCCAGGCAACACCACACCTAGTGTTTCAGCGAAATCCAGATAAATGTACACGTTCGCCTGCTTAGAAAACAAATTATCTTTTCATTCAAAGGCACACCGAGTTAATCTGGCGTGATCTATATTTAGTAAGACTCCACTGGCATTTACCTCATTTGCATTTACCTCTATATCTTTAGTAGGGGTCTGAATCTCACAGAAGTACAATTCTGAGACCCCAAAACATCATGCTAATGGAGCTATAAGACTATGCCTACCAGCAAATATAATGCCTTTCTTTTTACTTAAGAAACCTTAATAGATACACTAGTTTAGGATTACATGTTTTGGAGAATATATTTTCAACTCAAGATTAGTGTTGGCCAACAAGTTGAATTAACATGGCAAACACCAAGTATAGCAATATGGCAACTCTCAACAGACTCTTTCACCATCAGGCGCCATAAATCAAGCACTAACAGCCCAAGGCACTACGAACCATTATGTTATCACCTGACAAACAGCATATGACAACTTTTGGCACTGGGCTGTTGCCTATCAGTGCCACAATAAAAGTACAGACCCAGGGACCCGTTTTAAGCCTGGCACTGTTCAACATTTTTATTACCACCTGGAATGCAGGAATAGGGAGGCTCCTGATCAAGTCTCTGTTGGTTGTCTCAAGACTGTTTGATTGTCAGGCACACCCTAGGAATGTGACAGTGATGTGAACATGCTGGGAGGACTAAGAGGTCTCAAAATGTGGATATTCTCTATTCAGTATCACCTCAATCAAGGTGCAGCCTCCCAAGTGGTTTGGAAGTCAGACAGATAGTTAAGGAATCTGGGATAAGAAGACTTAAAAGCCGGAAAACATTTACACATGAAGCCTGCAAGCTCCTGGAAGAGATGGGGGATGCTGAACCAAACCCATGGGCAGCTATGGAGTGGGCCAACCACTGGGAAAGATGAGACTTATTTCTACAGCATTTTATACTAACACCAAATGAGTCCCCTTTGGGTATGACCTTGATACAGAAGCATGGGTCAAGCTGAACAGACAGATCAGGATATAGATGCTTCAAAACAGTACTTTACAAGATGAACATCTTAGACAACCCCCTGCATGAATGTGGTGTCTAACAAACAGCACAGCATTTAATTGAAAGCTGCAAACTTTACAAATGCCCAGACAGGACAGACGGAACCCACACATTGAGCGATAATACCAGACAGTGGCTCATAGATTTGTAAATTGATATCTGATGCCATGCATAAGAAGGAGGAGAAATGTGGAAAGAAGACTGACATGGCAATGCACTGTTCAGTAAGAGAAAGGAATACTACTTAGCTCTGTGCATTCATGTGTTAAGCCTGAGACTAGATGGTTCACAGAAGGTTACATGCATAAAGATATAGGTTTTCTGCAGAGTTCTGGATTTGTGTACCTGGTATCCCCACTGCTAGTTTGGCTGGCAGTGAATAAAGGCTATTTAATTTCTATTTGGTTCCATTGACTCACTGGCAAACCAGCAGCAGTGGAGCTAGAGTTGTGTCCTGGGACATTGCAACAGTCTGGAGATGACAAAACTGGAAAACGCTGCAAGCACTTGGGAAGCCAGGAATCAGTGGTGATATGTAGGGGGTGGACGTGCACCCCCTGAGAGCGCTGGTGCACCCGACAGCCAGCATTCCTAGACAGGGGGGGCAGGCGAGAGCGTTGGTGCCCCTCCAAGAGTGCCAGCCGGGGAGTGGGGCCACCAGGAGAAGCAGTCCCCCTGCAGCCGTTCGCGCTCACCTGGGTCAGTGGGATCAGCCATGGGGCGACTTTGGATCCAGCCTATGGAGCTGTGGCTTTGGCAGCATTCAGCAGCTGCGGGCTCTGCCCAGGCTGTGCCACATTTGGGTGCTGGGGGATTCAATAGAAGGGAAGCTCTGCCCAGACTGCATTGCAGTTGGGTGCCCAGGGCATTGCAGAGGGGGAGTGTTCCCAATGTGGCACCACAGTCATAGTCCTAGTGTCGACCTGACTCAGACTTGAGCAGGGTCGTTCCAGTGCTCCGCCAGAAAATTGTCAACCCTTGGATTAGAGGGCTCTGGTACGGACAATAATTCAAAGACAAATGCAAGATGCCAGACACAGGAAAGAAAAAGAAAAAGAAAAATGCTCAATACAGAATGGACGATAACTGTCTTTTTAACAGCACTGCCAGCAGGAACCTGTGGGATATGGTATATCACAGATTCAACGAGTCAGCCGTGTGATGCTGTTGAAAGAAAAGCAAATGCTGTTTTGGGCTGCATTAACAGAAGTACTGCATGTGAGCTATGAGAAGTAACAGGACCACTTTACTTCAGGATGCAGTACTCTGGCTGAAGCTTGTTCAGGATCCAAAGATGAACAAAAAATTATGAAGGATGGAATGAAAACAAAGAAAGGTTGAGAGAAACAGGGAGGTTTAGTCTGGAGTGGGGGTGGGAGACTAAGGAGTGAGAACAAAAACATTTTTCAAATATTTGAAAGTCTACAATAAATGAAAGGAAGAACAATTGCTTTCCTTTGCCACAGAAGACAGGACACAGTGCAATAAATTTAACCTACAGTGGAGCAAATGCAAATTAAATCTCATGAAAAACCACTACGTAAGAACAGCAGGACAATAGCACATGCTGCCATGAGAGGTTATGGAATGTCCTTCACTGGATGTTTTCAAAAAGAAACTGGATAAGTAACTGTGTGGCATGGTTTGGGAATGCCACATCCCATACCTGTGATGGAGATGATGATGCCAGAGGTCTCTTTCCACGTTATGATTCTATGGATCTAAAAGCACGATTTTACTACAGCCGGTGTCTTCAGGGCATCTTTCAAATTCCTTTTATTTAATTTAATGTTCCTTAATACTTATTCAAACACTGGTTTGAAGCTATAACCATTCAAATAGCAGGGCTGAATATGGCGTTAGAATACATAAGGGAGAAAGGACTAAGAGGCACAGAATCATAAAATCCAGTGTAGAGAAGTAGTTTACAGCTATCTATAGCAGCTTGTAGGGGTTGGTGGAATAGCAATCTTTCCACCCGGGGTTGAAAAAGGACTGTCCATGATCCATATGCACCTCACAGTAACAGAGATGAAGCCCACTGAGCAGCTCCTGACGATGCACACTGAGTAACAAAGACTGCCAAACCAAGACTGGGCAATGTGATGGGATCCTCAGTTTCCATAGACAGCACCTGCATGCCAAGAGGTACTTTGCAAATGACCCCGGAGAACAATATGATGGCAACAGACACAACTTAGATGCACCCTGCTAGGATGAGCTGCACCAAGTAAATACTGATCACTTACCTGGTTTTGATCATTGTAGTCACATTCCCTAGCCACTACTAGTCCTCCTTTCTGACTTGGGTGACCCTGGGCAACCAGACACTTGTTGGTTTGAAGGTGATACAACTGTGAAAGAAAAAGACTGCTAAATATATGCAGTGAATTAGAAGGCAAGTATCAGAATGAACATTTGGCAAGTCTTCTAATAACTCTCCTTCCTAGAATTCATTATATACTCAAATTCAAAATACTTTCTTCCCTTTTAAAATATAGCCATTTCCTTTGATCTAGTTATTTTTAATACAGCACTTAAAACCACTTAATTCTGTTTTCATGATATGCCAAATTTCCCTTTACCCTAGAACTGGAAATTATGTGCACATCAGATGAAAATTTGGCCCTCCTGTATACAGCTAACTATTTGTCTGCTACAACCTACACCTTCTTATTGGATATTTAATGGATTTTTTTTCTATGAATCACAGCAATTATGAATATAACATTTTCATTCCTCCTCCTCTTTTGGGGCAAAAAACAGATTAATGCACATGACTTTTTGCAACCTGAAGAGGACCAGAAAAAACCTCCACATTTTTCAGCTATGCTTAGTTACAATTCTGGTGGGATTCAGCTTAGCATGCCAAATTTCCCATGTCTTCTAAATGAGTTTCTAGCCTAGTTTGGATATACTAACTACTCTACAACTAGAATTATCTGGTGTTTGGTGCTTTGGTCATATTGGGATCAGACTCCTGACATATGGCTATATGTTGAAGAAAGGCTGCTACCAGAATGAGATTCCTAGCAACTGTTCAGAAGCTCTCCTGGTTTGACAATGATGCTTTTACATATTCCAGAGTTCTGCAAAGAGCCTTAGTCATCCAGACAACAATCCCACAAAATAAATTCGCTGGAATGCTTTTATTCTGGTCTCAAATTATTTAGCGGGGGTAAAACTACAAACTAAAGAGTAATCTCCATTTTGCAGTGGAATGCAGAAGGAAAAAGATTTCACTCTGACAGTCTTGGAACAGCAGACCATCCTTAAATAACTAGCCAGTTTTGCCTTAGCTACATGGATAAGATTTTGACATTTCATTTGCATTTTATTTATTCTTTAATTCTACATAGCACTTAAAAATGTTACATACCTCTAATAATTGTATTAAATTAAAAAAGAAACTACCAGAATATAACTGGATATAACATAATCAGGCAGCCCAAGCAATTAAAATTCTCCATTTTTCCCTAAACATTATGCCCAGTAATATTGCCCTTTTCAGGTTCTTAAGAAATATGTTCCATTCTGCATTCTAGTTTCTAGCATATATTTACTATCCCCTTGCCCATTCATGCTATAAGTGTTTAAATCAAACAGTTGCATGAAAGAATGCTAAAGAACATTTTCTGCCATCTTACAGATTGTAGGAAAGGTCTAATTTCCAATTTTATTAAAGAGTATCCTTTTATAATTTACATGGTTTTAAAATAATTTGTCTGTTTTATTAGCCCTAACCATCTGCATTTGAGAATGCTATTAAAAATGCCCACACTTTGTGATTATCATGGCTCTTTTCCATCTGTGAAACATGCACTCATCTTAGCTCTGACTGTCTGAGAGAAAAAAGTAAAATTCAAGCAATTTATTATGAACCCTGAGGAGTCTGGCACATGGTGGCAGTACTGGCTGATCATGCTGTTACTTGGGCCTCTAGAATGAACTTGAGTAATTATCTGAGCCGAAGCTGATTAACTATCCTGGACCAATGTTGAGTCCAGTGATCAAATCGCTCATAACCAAACTGAAGCATCTATGAGCATGTTTATCTGCACACTGGCCTTCTTTATTCTAAAATTATACAAAGCTCTTCTCTAAACCAAAGCAAGGAAAATCCTGGCCTAGAGAAATGGCCTATCACTTTACTTCGAGATATTCAAACACCTATATATCATGAGCCTCAAAACAACAATTCTTTAGTTAAACCTCTATTATCCTCTGAGAAAGAGACTGAATAGGGATTTGCATGCATTAAGCTGATTCAGCACTGGTGAGGCCACATCTGGAGTCCCGTGTCTCGTGTCGAGGTTCCGACGCCGGTTCAACTTTATGATGAATCACTTTACTTCGAGATATTCAAACACCTATATATCATGAGCCTCAAAACAACAATTCTTTAGTTAAACCTCTATTATCCTCTGAGAAAGAGACTGAATAGGGATTTGCATGCATTAAGCTGATTCAGCACTGGTGAGGCCACATCTGGAGTCCCGTGTCTCGTGTCGAGGTTCCGACGCCGGTTCAACTTTATGATGATGGACACAGCTGCATCCAGCTGGTAAGTCTGTTGGGGGGGGGG